TGATCAAACTCATTAATAGACAAATAGACTCAAATTACATCGTGAACGAAACAAAAGAGTTAATTTACCTTATCGTCAGCATTCGTACGAATGAAATGGTAACAATCGACTACATACAAAGGAAATGAATAGGTAATGGGACCGAAAATATGTCGCTCAAATATCCCGCCAATTCAGATTCAGAGCAAATCGGACGTATGTTAACGTTTAATTTCGATTAGCAAAAAAATCTGTTCTACCGATCCTTCATCGTTGTCCCCGTTAGAGTTCGTTGAATCGGTCGCGTACAAATTGCAACGGCGAGAACGCGTCGCCGCGCGTATGTAAGCGTGACGCGGGCGGCAAAGCGGAATCGAACGGCGCTGATAACTGGTAGCTATTAGCGATAACAACTTCACGCCGGACGAATCGTTTTGCCACGCGAAACTCTCCGTAACTGCCAACTGCATAGTTCCAGATAAACTTCTGTCTGTCCGTGTCCGCTTCGCGGAAACTTCTTCCCGTGCGAGTCGGTTCGCTGTCTCGCCGCGCTGGATCTTTCTTTGTCCACTTTTCATCAAAGAACCACGGGAACGAACGCGGAACCGTTCGAACGTTCCGCGCGCCGCCGTCAATACGCTCGAACGGTTCAACGCGCCGAAGTTCCGGTCTAAGAACACTGCGGGAACTCGCTCGTCCCGAGTTTTTCATCTCCTTCTTCGAAGTAGCCAATTTTTAACGGAGAAATTTAAAACAATATTACCGCGGCGCGTTGGAGGAGCGAGGAACGGAAGATGTTACGCGTTCCCCGGGCTGCGTTCACTTAAATCGTTCCAGTGGGTTTCAAGATGGCCTCGCGGCGCCCTTTAATCTGCGGATAGCGTTTAATCTGGCATGCGGAACGTTCGAGTGGAAAGCGAAGGAGGAAATATAAAGAGAATCCGGCTCTCGGGTGCGGGTTCCTCGAGGTGATTTTAAGAACACCTGTGCTTTTTAATGGTGGCCTTTAAAGCGAATCGACGACTCTCGTCCGGCGCGAATGCCACTCGACCGGTTGTTTGCAATATGTCACTCGACACACTGGAAGAATGGAAGCACGCATTGCTCGAGCACACAGGTCCCGACGCGAGTGCTTCCAGCAATCGAGAAAGGGCCGGGGGGCGGGGACGAAGGGCGCGGAAACATCGGAGAAGTAGAATTTATGATTAATCGAGGACGACGTTAGCCGCCGACGGAATCCTCTGCGGATGTACCGATCCGTCGCGTCGTATTCATCCCCCGACGGGGGATGCAAATAATTACCGCTCCAACATTTGTTACGGTTGTCATAAATTTCACCGCGGCGCGGCCGTCTTTGGCCCGTGACAAGGGTCTCGGTGCACAGCTCTCAAAGGACGAGCGGTACCGTTGCGCAGCCGGAAGTGCTCTCGAGCGCCGGCACAGCCAGTGCCCGCGACGTGGACTATGGCGAGCACAGCGCCGCGTCGCCCGGCAAATACAATCGATAATCGAACCGGCCCTTTTTAATTGACTCCTCGTACGAGGAGTCCCGCCACTTGAAATCCTTCTGTGGCTGGGAGAAGGGAACGGAAGCGAAAGGGTTCACTCAGGAGGAAAGAAGAAGCGGGGGGATTTAATCAGCTTTGCGGGGCGGGGACCGCGCCGCTCTGTCGAATCGAGTGTAACCCGGCTATGAATATTTACCGGGTTTATCTTTGAAGACGGGAAGGACAATCAGTTCCCGCCGGTTACACTGTTATTCCGTTTTAATAAACCGCCGACACTGGTTCCTCCGGTGCGCAGGGAGCTCCCTGCCGCCGTCTAGCTTGTTTTCTTATATTCATGCGGTCCTGCCGCCGTGCGGGAACTCCCGCGTGGTCCGTAAGCTATCGTGATCTCAAGTTTCTAATTAGCAGATGGTATACTGCGGCACTGGTAATACTCGTGATTATACTATGCGCCATAATCGTTTAAAGGCACTGCAGAGCGCCGCGTAAAGCTGACTGCCGTAATGGAGTCGCAGTTCTAATACCTCGATTGGAAAAAGTGGAACTAGAGCGTGACGCTGATGACGGAAACATTGGGAATGTTTAAGGAAATGTTGCGAATGTTCGAGGTTTACAGTCAAAATATCTATCACGTCTTTAATACGAACTCCGAAGTTTGTTATGGATTTTGTTTGACTTCAAGGTGCAATTATAAAGTTCCATTGCGAGTGAATAATAAAATCTGCTGAAAGAGGATGCTAATCATAGGTCAGAATAAATTTTCACTGTTACATCTGGAATACCTGGAAAGGCACACAGAATTATTCACTTACCACTCTTTCCTTGTAAAACTTCAAGCGAATCAAGGAACGAGTAGAGAGAGGAATCGTTTGTACCAAAATGGTCTGGACTATCGAGTCTAGATGTTACATATGGAAAATCCAGGATTCCTGATTCTACAAGGACACTAGGGTCTGGGTTGACCGCTAGACCAGACGTGACGATGTCCTCTTGGGCTGAAAGTCTCATCGGGCTAAGTCTCCAACCGGTTTGGTGACTTCCCAATGGAAATAATGGTATCGCGTGATCCAGTCTGTAAAGTAACTGTTCCACGCATCATTAGACTCGAGTGCGGCTTCATGAACATTTTTCATTTTATACTTGTGTAGACTGAATTGGTCAGCGGCCCGTGGTTCCTGGTCATTCAGGTGAACTTTAAACACGTTAGATCGTCCAGCTGACCGATTTTCGATAATACTCGCGGCGTCGGGTCGCGGAGGCTAAAAGGGTATCAGTGTTCCGAGATAATTAATTGCCCTGTCAACGGTCGCATTTGCTTTGCGCTACTTATTCCTGAAAGCGTCATTAGGGCTCGCCAGTTGTCTGGGAATTCCTGTTTGTCAACTGGATGTCTTGATGCGCGGGGGCGGTGTAACGTTTCGTTATTATCGTGGAATACAAGCTCGCGGCCCCGTCAACCGCGCTGAAAGGACATCTTCCATCATTCGCGGTTTTTTTACCCGCTTGTGTGTACTCCGCTCCCGTTCCTGTTTTTGATATCTTTGTCCCTCCTTTCTTCCTCCTTTTCTTTGTCTCGGCAAGGCTCCCCTCTTGCTACCCCATTCTCCGTTCACAGGCCATTCCCTCCTCTTGTTGTCCCTCTCTTTCGGTTACGGGCGACCAGCGCTACCACCATTTTGCATTTTCTTCTCCGCGCTTTGCCGTCTCGACCGTGCGACTTCGCTTTCCATCCCTTTTTTACCTTTCATTCGGTCCTCCGCAGACAATGAAAAGCCTTCGCTCAGAGGTAAACGGGAAACGATAGGGAATTCCACGACGATAATTGTTCAAGATTTCGCCTTTATCGCGGCCGGAAGTAGATCTGGATGCGGTTGAGTTTTAATCTCGAGCTTTCTGCCGACCATCTTTTTTTTTATATCGGTCCCGGCTGAGTTGCCCCTGCTTTGACGCATCGCTCGTCCGAGTCCGAGTCTCTTTATACCCGAATTAACGCACAAATTATCAATTTTTCCAGATATTACGTATATATATATATATAATTATACAAGTCAACTATGGAAATTGAGGTTTCACTTATCTTCTAATGGATTTGAAACGACTTCCCTTTTAAAACATCATACACGCTGTTTAAAAAGAAACAAACTAATTTCCTTTTTGCTACCTGCTATCGCCGTTCAAAGTTTGAATAAGAGATCTTCAGCTATTAATCATCGCTCTTAGAAAACCAGCAAATAGCCGTCGCGTTAAAAAGAAGCGCGGCACGGCGCAAAGACAGAAAAGAAAGATGAAACGGAGCTAGTGCCGTCAAAAACGTGTAATCTTCCGCTGGAGGCCGTGTCAGCTCGTAGAATAACGAGTACGGTTGTTTACTCGATAGAACGTGCATGCCGCGTATTTTCTTACCGTTCGCGATATCGACCGGCGCGATTCAACCGTCTCCGCCTCCATTAATTACGGCCGCGGTTTTCGGACCAGTGGAAATTATGAATTCTCGTCGGACGATAATCATTATCCCCGGTCACGAGTCGCGCGCGCGCCGTCGAATGGAATTAGAGACTCGATAACCGACGATTGCAAAATTGCAATTGAAATAACGCCGGGGCCCCCGCGCTCGCCCCGCTAGACAAGTAGACTAGTTTCGCGCCAATTAACATGGTTTTCGGTTCGGCCGCTACTCAAAATTAATTCGCTCGCAAATTCGTTTCGATTTTCCGTTGCCCGGTTAATATCGCCGCGGACGATGAAAGAGGATGATCGAGCATGCGTGCCGTACCGGGCGCATTCGGGGCATTATCGTGTGTAGCCCGCTCGTTCATCACGGGATTTTCAATCTGTAACGATCAATTTGAATGAAACGCAGCACGCCAGCGCGCGACCCTTTCCGTTCCGCGTGAATCATTCGCAACGACGCAGAGCGGGGTGTTTGTAGGATCTGAGCGGACAAAATTAGAATCAGGTTTATGTCGACCTTTGACAAGAAAATACGAGAATGTAACGTATGGATTGCAAAATGCTTAACTTTCGAAATATCTCGGCACTGTTCGAGTGCTCCGAGGATAAACAAATTTTATTTCATCAAACAGAAACAATTTTTCGATTTAAGTGAAATTTTTAAAATGAACTTTTGGTTGATATGCTCGGTCGAACGGTGTGCTACGAAATGCGCACAGGTCGGCAGCGTATCTACGCGATCTTTCATATTTTTCACCGGCCGTGCGTCATTCGAATTAATCCGTATCCACCGGAAGTACGCTGATTACAACGTCGAAATTAAATGTGGAGCCGCGCGCGGAAGAAATTATTGTTATAATATGATTCGGAAACGCGCGCGCAAATTTATTCGCGAAATAAATGGGAAGCAAATTGTTACTTACGGCGGACCGCGATAAACGGTAGCGAGAGAGACTCCTCTAAAAAAGAAATATACATATTATATACTAATTATATTTTCGTATATACGTTAAACGATTCGATGTTTTGGAATTGATTCTGAAGTTTCAATACTCTTTACAGATTACGGACGTCGATTGCCCACATCTATCAGACGTCGAAGCAGCTGAACATGAATTCCGAGGTCCGCAGGTAAATAAAAACAATAGGAAATAATCTCCCCGCAAATCGCTGGCCAACAATACGAGCACATCTAAATGGATAACCCGTTCGCGTATTAAAATTTATAAACCAAACGGTAATAGTTCCTTATAGTTTAAGCGACTTTAATATCCATAGAAAACACGGTCTTTCGGTTTTCACGGGCGGGAGTGGCATTGTGAAATTTTATTTGGACTCGCGATACCAATATAGTAATGTATGTTATCTCGCGCGCACGGCCTGGCGTCATAAGTGCAAAGCTTTGTACACTACAGGGTATTAAAAGTTCTCTGTCTGCTTTGCGTTCCCGTGTGCTCTCTGCCGTTAAGAACGCTTTTAATGTTTCGAGTTGTATTAATCGCGACCGTTCCCGCGTTTTCCGCGCGAGCCCGCACAACGCAATGGCGTCGCGTTTCGCGGAAATTCGCGCGCGTCGCGCGGTCAATATAGCGGCGAGTACCAGCGACCGGCCGACTCCGCTGATCGGATCCGTTTTCTGGGAAAAGTTCGGCACAGAGGATCCGATTATTGTGGCGGCTCACGCATCATCGAAATTCGCGATCGAACTGTTTCACGCGTCCGACCCGGACAACTTTCCGTCCCTCGGATTCGGGTCAATAAACCGGGGACAAAAGGCACGGTTTAATGCGTCACCGTGGGCTCGGCTATCGGGCTTTCGAGAACAAATGGGCTT